GTTTTGGAAGTATAGTGATAAATTTAAATTTATAAATGATAAATTTGGAAAAAAATTGGAACCCACGACTTCGTACCCACGACCCACGACTTTGTACCCACGACCCACGACTTCGTACCCACGACCCACGACTTCGTACCCACGACCCACGACTTCGTACCCACGACCCACGACCCACGACCATTAGGCAAACTCCTGTAGTCTTGGGCTAATCACACTAAGCGCTCTATTACAGTATGGACTGGAAGTATTAAAGTAAGGCCTTCTTTTTATTGCATATTAATTATATTATGCGACTAACTAACTGATCAGTATGCGGCATAAGCAATTTTGTTTTGTTTATTGTTTTTTGTTTTTTTTTTGTTTTTGTTTTTTTTGTTTTTTGTTTTTCCTGTTCGGTATCTTTGAAATTGTGCGTTCTCCGTAATCCAAAATCCCTCAGTAACATGACACTCACTGTGTAAGGGCGGATCCAGGGGGGGGGGTGAGGGGCAAAGGGGGGCTGCCCCTAAAATTTGGGCTGGATCCGCCCTTGCTGTCGTAATGAAGGGAAACTGGCCGCCCGCCGACCACTCTCTGGCCGGTCTCAGCTGAAAGCTTTGTATGATATCCTATAAAGGAATATATGGCCAGAACATTTATAACAAATCTCAACAAAACACCCCTTATATGGCTTTCACCATTATCATATGAAAGCCAATATTATGAAGGGTGAATTGGAACATAACTTGTCCTTGTACTTTTTTCTTTTTCGTTCGGCATTGCAATAATCGATATCTAGGGTAAACGTTCACCTGGAATGTTTATTTAGCAAATAGAGGATACAAAATATAATAAGATATAATAAATATAATATAGAACAATAATCACTGATTATTTGGTCCCTTGATCACCAAGGCCAAAAATACAAAAAACAGTTCTATATAACAACTCTTTTTTAAATAAATGTCATATATTATTTTTGCAATGTTGTAAAAACAAAACAACTGTAAACAAAACAATTTTGTATCTCATACAATACTCTTTTATATTCACTTGTTTCTTTGATTATCTTTGATATAAAAATTCTATGTAGTGACCCTTCACGAGGTAAAGAACCATATACAACAACAACCCATTGCACCGTGTAGAAACTCTTGTAATTGTGTCGCAATGCTGTTGCGAGACAAGTTGCAGAGAAAATTGCTCCGTGTAATCGAGCCTTAACTCTCAAAAAAAATATATCGCGCAAGCAAATCATGTCCAAAATAAATTCCTGCACAGCCATGAGGGGTAAACAAATTCCTTCTCTCGTTATCGTAAATCCCTATAAAAAGCGTGCAATCTGACATTTACACTCAATGTAGAATTGTTTTGCTTTACCTAAAGCCGTCACTAATCCGCGCCGAAACTCCCCTCATTATTTACTCATTAACATTTGCTGCATACTTTGTAATAAATCGATCCCCATGCACTTACTCTTATCCCACACCCCACTTACTAGTTCAAGGTTGTTTGTGTACAAGATGGACCCCTCGCTCAAATCAGAAGCTGATCATCTCAACATTGCGAAGGGTGAGGCGGGGGGGATGAAATAGTTCGTGTTGTGTTTGGATGGGAAGGGGGGGAGTTGAGTATGAGTCTCAACTAGTTTTGGTGCGGATTGGAGCTATCAGTTTCGTTTGAACTTATGTTTAAAAATAAGAATTGGTTATTCATACTCGCCATCGAATCTCACGCACTAAATCCAAATTTCAGCTCAGCTTCTAAAAGAGGGTCATTTTTATCAAATGAATCTGAATTGGTATATTTATCGTTTTGTCAGTTTAGTCTCCTGTAAAAAGGCAGAATTGTTCTTTAACTGACAAAACTAATTAACTCAAGTGATACTGAGAGCAGAGGAAATCATGGCCCACGTACACGTCAAATGATGTGAAGTGAATACTAAAGCCTTTTAAGTGTTTTGAAAATGTTGTAGATTGGTTGTTTCAAATTAAAGTGGATGTTTATGATAGTGTACAATACTGACTCAGGGGCTCCGCTTCATTAAGGACGTTTAATTGTTTTTTCGTATAAGCCAAAAAATCAGAGTCACGTAGCAAAGATTTTATTGTGTTTTTCTCTCTGTCCATGAAGTTTCATAGGTTTTAGTCTTGTTTTGAGATTCACAAGTTTGATAGAATACAGACCATATATCCATCAAAAACTATGCAAAAAATTGCACAAATTATAGTAAGTTCAGTAGAACTCAGTAGACTGTAGACCTAAAACACTTAACACTAATCTGTACAGTTTTTAGTTCATTTTTCAAGGATTTATGGTATGCACCCTAATATGTCTACTTAAATTTAATTTTTAACCAAATACATCGTCGAGAATATTTTGTCATGCGACACAAATGAAAGAACGGGTCCAACTTGAAAGTAGAGAATACATGCTGCACAAAACGTAGAAATAAATATGACTTCCGATCCCGCATCAAAGCTTACTAGCATGGCTTATTGCTTTTGGACGCGTTTAGTTTTTCCGCCAGTGGTTGCAAGGACCTCCCGTGCCTTACGTTCAGCAATCTTACGATATCTTTCCAGCTCCTACGGGTTACAAGTAGAAAGGAAACAATCACCTTTAGATGCTATGCTATTAAAAGAGGTCAAGTGGTTGTGAATGAGGAAAATGAGAAGTGGTTATTGTAGCGATATGCATTCATGCCTACTTGATATGCAGACATGCGCAGTGAGTGTAGGACACAGCACGACCACATTGTATGTGAGATACTTACAGTCAAACAAGCTCACGCGTTGACCCCTAGATTCGATTAATGAAATCATTAGTCAATTATTCCTTTTATACGTACGAACCGGAATAATGCAATATTGCAATATTCAAATGAAAATTCAGTTCATTATTCGACTCGTGATGAAGAAGGTAAATCATCTAAATTACAGATACCTTCGAGCAGAAGTCGCTCTCTTATTTCATAAGCATACACACTAGGTTTTGTAATTTCCATGCCTCAATTACTTGGAGGATATCACCAGTAATTTTGTACGGAACGCTCCCCCCATGAGCGAAATGGAGACACAGTTCCATGTTGTCGATAATGTTTAAGTATTTTCTGGACTCCCCAACTAGAAATTTTCAGTTGTCGCGAAATTGCTTTATTGGACAATCCGCTATTGCTGAGATGAACAATTTTCTGTCGAATAATATCAGGTAAAGGCTTTCCCGGCACATAAACACGGCATAGATTATTTCTGGCCGCCATGTTTTCTTGGTCTTCCGGTTGTGTTAGCACTGATTAACCAATCAAAATGTCGTATATTGAATTTAAAGTTGATTGGAATTTTCATATCTTCGTTTTCGACGTTGTAAATTTCAACTGAATAAAGAAATCAAAATTCGAAAATTCAAATCATTAATCCATTCTAGGGGTCAACGCGTGAGCTTGTTTGACTTTAGTTGCCGAAGTTGAAATGAATAAATTAAGTTACAACCCATTAGTTATGCCTCATAATCTATAACAGTTCTTGCCGCCGTCGCTGGGAAGGACGCTCACTGGTGAAGGGTGTAACAAGAAAATCGAACGAATTGGCAGGTGTAAGCACTATAAAGGAGAACAACAGCTTATTCGAGAATCATTACAGACACACATCTAAATACTCTATTTTACAGTTCCGTTCAGTCACTACGAATAATAATTCCAAGTCGAGGCTGGAGTTCCTAGCAAAACTATACTTTTTATCATGCGCGGTAACTCCAACCTCGGCTAGGAACTATTATTCGTAGTCACTGAACGGAACTGTAAAATGGAGTATTGGGATTTAGCTGCTGTACTGTATATATATTTAATCCAAACCTCGTCTTTTTGTTTTCTCATGGAATCCACCGCTGGCTCGTAGAACTGAGGATCTTTGGAAGGATCTTCTCCTGTATTTCTTTGAACATATTTCTAGAAATGAAAACCATGCATAATCATGTATCACTAAATATTGAGGCTTGGATATATGAAAAAACTTCTATAAGCATTCAACCACTGCTGAAGTCCCAGCCATACATTCTTCTTATATTTAATTATTTTAAATGTCCGCAAAATTTCCTTACAATTTTGCACAAACTTTATCTCTCATTTTTACTCATTTATATTTGCTCTCAATCCCTGTGACGGGGTTTACTTTTGAATTAAGTTAATTTTGAAAGATTTGGTTTCAGGCTTTTGCTCAATATGGAAATGCATAATTAGAATTAAGGGGGGAAAGCTATTTTGATAAGTAATGAGATAAGGCTGAACTAGCAAAGAGCGCAGAGTTTACTGTTAAGAATATGGAACACCACCATTACCTCTGGCGGGAAAAAAGTAGCATACGCTGCTTTCCACAAGTCATACGGGCTTCTAAAAACAAAAACAAAAAACAAAAAAAGAATCTTAATAACCATGATTGTCGTGAAGAAATAGACAAGGAATATATCAAAATATTGATAAACAATGAAAAATCAAGAAATATAAGCTTTCCGTTTTAAATACTCTGATCTGCACACGCGTCACTTTTCGTCGTGGTTTCCTGCGCAGTTATCGCATAATCAGAGGGCGCCTTAGAACTCGTTTTATCCATTCTGGTTTTTACACTTGTCTTTGGATTCATTTTTCTCCAATAAACTGACCTTGATTGAAGTCTGCTCAAGTCTTCACTCGCTACAGGTGGAGCACCTGAAAACCGATCAGTATACGTTATGACGGCTCACTGGGACAACAACAATGAGAACAAGGCAGCTAGTGATATTATTTACCTATCTGGCTTAGAGTATCAAGACCAGCTGGTACGATGATAGGCTTGTTGTGGTCGACTGATACAGACTTACTGGAAAAAAAGACGAATTCAGTTAAGTATTTAATAAGAAAACTAGTTGTAAAGAACAACGTTTCGCTGTGATCTCGACAACATCATCAGGTCTAATGAAAACTGTATTGTTCTACCCGATTTATTGATACTTGAATGGGTGAGAGGCAGCACAACAGCGCGCATCACCTGTGCTCTCCCAACACGATCAGACAGTGCATATTTCATTGGCTATACATTAAACGACTGCTATACGAATATCATTTTGATACGTAAAAGGAAAACACATTTTTCAACCAGAATGTGGTAGATGATAACATCAAGTGAATAAGAGAATCAGGTATAGCAAACCTCCCCCTGGATGGGCTCTCAGTTCTTTCCCCCCC